GACCAAAACCCCAAAACCCCTCGATTATAAATCATGGTAAATAATAATGATATATGAGTTAATTAAATCAAGAATTTATAATCATTATTATCTAATATTAATTAATGGCAAGACAAATGCTTACTCAAAAATATCAAGAAGAGATTAAGGAAAGAAAGTAGATCAGGTAAAAATAAGAAGAGGGACTAGGCAAGGTAAAGTACCTTACAAACTCCCACTTCCAGAATATAATCGCAGAATCTAACAAATACCTTAAAATTGAAAAATAAACAAAACTTAAACTTAAATTAGACAAACTCACTGTTCTAAAAGTTGTCAATTCTCTAATAGATTTCAATAGAAAGCTTCTCAAGTCGTAAGGAATAGAAGAAAATGTAGATGACTATATATTTCTAAACATAAAGATGAATATATCTAGTGACTATGATTAAGAGACTCCAATTTAGCTAAAAGTTCCATTTCCCTTATTTGAATTAGAAGACAACAAGACAGAGGTATTACTAATTGTTAAAGAAAAGCCTGAGATTTATATTCAGATGTGCGAGGAGTTGAATTTTCTAGCAATCAAAGAGATCAAAACAGTAATATAAGTAAAAAAAGATTGCTAGAATGGCAAGGGAAACGTTGTAAAGAAATACCTCAATTAATTTGACATGATTTTGATTGATGACAGACTTTCATCAGCATCAGTCGAGAAAGACCTTGGTGGGCAGGGTAATTTAATTAAAAAAAGAAACTTTCCTATTCCAGTTAAGATTAATGGCCTAAATACTTTAGAATTTAAGAAAGTGATTTAGGAGGCTTCTGAAACTGTAGGTCTTCTATTAACTGGAGGAAATGATTTTATTGTGAAATGCGCAAAAAGTGAAAGTATGACTAAAAAGGAAATTGTTAAGAATGTAATGCAGGCTGCCCTAAGAGCTATATGCTTGATAATTTACAGCTAAAAGAAAATTAAAAATAATGGCATTAAATAAATCTAACTTCAGACAACTAAATCAATGCCATTGCCTATTCAGGATAATGATGATTTAAAGCAATAAACTGATGAATGATAATCAATATGAAAGAGAAACAAATTAATTAATCCTTTATTTATTTATTCATTATTCAACTCAAGCTCAATTTTATCTTGCGGGGTTTTGGGGTTTTGGGGTTTTGGGG